AAGCGGGCTTCTGTTGATTGAAGCCCTCGAGGATGGTGTCGCTGAGCCCGAAAGGCGCCGTTGTTGTGTCACCATGGTAGAGGGTCCTGGTAACCCTGCCTCCTCTTCCGGCCGGTTCATCGTGGCGTCCTGTTCGCTTGCCATTCTTACTTTCGGTTTTGTATGTTCTGTCCTTTGCCCACATAATGGCGCAAGACTTTGTAGGCCGCGGGCAGGTCCAGATGCATGTTGACAGAGTTGGCATCTGAGTACCATGCATCAAGCGTCAGCCTCTCGGCTTTTGAGGTTCCTCGGCCTACGATGGTCGCTCCTTGAAGATCGAATTTGTAGCCAGTCTCTGCGATGTGGGCCATCGAAGATGACTGCCATTGGTATAGTAACTGCTTAACGTACCCACTTATACTTGTTGCGGCTGCGATCATGACGTATCTCGCCGGCCTCGGTTATTTTCCATACGATGCTTCTCCACGCGCGATGTTCCTTGGCGACAGATCTGGACAGTTCAAACCATTATTTTAGCCAGCGCCGGAGACCGAATACCGAAGGTCCAAGAACCACTTCCATACCCTGCCAGACTGAGTCAAGCCAGGTTTTGAGCTGACTCCCACTTCGACATTTCCAATTAGGTAGCGGTTTCGGGTTGAGGGCAGTAACACTAAGCTCGTGAGGTTGACGGCGAAGAATGTGTCCAAACCAACTCAGTCGTCCTTCCTGAATGGCCTGAGATATCCTTGTGATTTTTTCCCAGCGAGTGCGGACTGTTTCATTTGAGAAGTCGGTGTATTTCACTCGAAAGATGCTCCTCAGACAGTAGTGGTCAAAGACGTCCAGCTTCCGTTCATCTTCCACGCGCATTGCCCAGCATTCGCATCCGTATAGAAGAACAGACCGTACGGATGCACGGTACACGCGGACCTTTGTGGAGGTATAAATATGGCGTCGGGTCTATAAGCCCTTTCGAAGGCTGGAGAACACTCATCGTGCTGCATCAATTCGGGAGACAATGTCATCCTTACTCTGTCCATTCCGCAGCAATCTCGCTCCGAGGTATTTGAAACTGTCGACTTCTTCTAGTTGACAGCCACCAATCTCAAGAGATGCCTTCTCTTCTGTGGGGATGAAGCATGAAACCACTTTGGTCTTCCCAGCGTTTATGGACAAGCCGACCGTTTTCATGACTTCGTTTACCCGTGACACCATAGACTGGAGAGCGCCAAAGTTTGATGCTAGTAAGGCGATATCATCGGCATAGTCAAGGTCAGTCAACCGGCGCCCGGGTGCAGGGTTCGTCCGCTAATCGAATCACTGTGGCATTTTCGAAGGCTGGAGAAAACTCATAGAGCTGCGTTAATTCGGGAGAGAGCGTCATCATTCGGCAGCAACCTCGCTCCGAGCTGTTTGAAACTGTCTACTTCTTTAAGTTGCCAGCCACTTATCTCGAGAAGTGCAGAAGCAGGGATGCAGCATGAAAACACCTTGATCTTCCCGGCTTTTATGGACAAACTGACCTAGTTAGCGACCTCGTTCACTCGTGTTTAATGAATGGCTTTTGATTCAATGCCGGCCGTGATTTAGTCACCCGTGTTGGCTGTTGACGTGATAATCACCCGGCTATTTGGCTCACCGCGAAGGGAGCCCGGCGAAAGATGACTCAACCAGCTCACTTTTCAGGCCATTGTCGCTTTGCGCGAGAATTTCGGCCATTCGTGTCTTAATCAGTTTCCTCGAAGTAATTTGTTTGTCCGTAACTGCACCAGAACGGCTGCAGACGTTTCGTGTTCGGGCAGCGGGATCTTTGTTCTTCATTATCTGGTGCCTGATGGTGGCGTCCTCTGGTATGCCTGCCATTCGGACTCCAAGTGAGGTGAAACGGGGGCTGACAGCCTCAGAGACGTTCTTGAGGTGCGGAAGCGTTCGCCAAAATATTTAGTTGCGTTCATTTCGTCTCTCGTCTCCGATTCGTGTGCACTGGTTGCTGAGGTGGCGCGAATAGCTGTTTGACCTGATCATCCGCCGAAGCTGCTGTAACTGAATAATCTTGTATTCCAGTCTACTGTAGTGTGTACCAACGCGCCAATACAGCACCCTTATGCAAATGCGTTTGTCACTGGTTGGGTGGTTGTTACTGAAGATCGGTATTTGCATCCTATTTATCGCTTTACTCGGGTATTTAGGCCACCACTGTTAGGACTGGGGGCAGCACAAATCTAGCCTGAGAAGCCACTACAACCACAATATTTGAGATAGACGAAGACAGATCGGCTAGCTGTTTTCCTCCTCCTCCTCCTTAATCGTAAATTTCACGTCCGGGAAGACGGCGTTGAGATTCTTTTCGAACGCCAGCACTGATCATGTTCGATGATGACGAAGGTACCATTTGCCTACTGGGTCCAGAATTTCAGTCTGTACTGCGAGAAGACCAGTATTCACAATCTTTGCAGGACCGTCTCAGCTATGAATCCGGAAATCAGTGAACTTTTCGGTGAGGAAGAGATGTAAAAAGGGACGGAACATCAACAGGTGCCAGAACCCCATTTGGCTAATTCCTCTCGCTAATACAGACATCAGGGTCCGTTCATCGGTTCGAGAAACCGACCGGAGTCAGTCTTCTTTAAAGCCACCACTTTTATTGCGCTGTGATAGGTTCAGGCACGTCCGGGCCCGCCAATTTTCCACAAATCTGCCAAACCCCCCTAATTATTAAGTGAACCTAGTAGTCATTCTGATGAATTCTAGATGATTGCTTAGGAAATTCTGCCTAGGCAATCAGCTTACTCTATCCGTAATGGTAGATTCCATAGAAACAGTAAGTTGGGCGGGTAAATCAGCACAAGTGTGATTAAGATCACGGCTTACGGTGAGCCTCGTAGCTCAATGATAGAGCGTTGGCTGCGCAAAAGCCTTCCCTGCTGTGGGGATTCAACTCCCACCGAGGCCACGAATTTTTCATAATTAGGTGAACTGAAGTGAGCAAATATTCCAAGCCCTCCTGACACCTAATACTGGAATTGGAAGCAAGCGGCTGACACCCCTGGTCACCAACCTACTTGAAATGCGCGCGACTTGACTACCGAGTAACATACCAGGATACATTAACGAACATGTTTCAAGCATAGTGAGATGATGAATGGCTAAAGAAGTATGCCTTTCGAAGTGATATAAGGAAAGGAGACAGAAAGGAAAAAATAGTTTTGCTTGTTAATTTGCAAACTGGTTACACCAGTTCGTCGTCAGGCAAACTGAAAAATGAGAGCTTTGTCTGTCATTCTGGTGTGGGACGACACAGACAGAGAGATAAGCAGGTGAACTTGCGATAGGGCGCATCATGTTTTGATGGATGTCGCTGGTAGGCAGAGGTGTTGTGAGTCTCAGTTTTGGCTCCACGCTTCGTGAGGAAGGGGGAGGGCATGGCCTGTCGACGAAACACTATATGTCCAGGCAATGTATTAGCCGTTGGTGTTTTTAAGGGGGACGCCAGTCAGTGCAATGTCAGAAGAGACCTTCGTAGTGGGCATCAAAGTCAATCTGG